TTTCATAGTAAGCAAATGAAATATTAAATTACTTGACTAGTATGTTAAAAGAAATTATTTCTACTATCATTATTAAAAAATCTTTATTATTGATGATGTGATATTAAAAAAAAAAAAAATTCGAATAGTTTTGATCTAAATGGATTTATTTCATTTAAAAATTAATTTTTTAAGTTTTATTATCGTCAGCACTTTTGTAAAATTATTTACGTAAATTACTGTTCCGACACCTGACGCATTATAAAAACTGTTTATTTTGCATTAATATTTAATATAATAATAAAGAAATTCTCTACTTGTCTTACGATTTTGGTATAAGAATATCCTATTCGTTTTTTAAATATTTTATCACTTTTTATGAATACATATATTAATCTAAAATTGTTAAATTATTTTATGAAATTCTGAAACATTCGAATTTTCACTTTTTAATTAGTTTAATTAAATAATAAAAATTAAATCCCAAAATAGTTTTTCTTAATGATTTTTATTTATGGTCTTCGTCCAAAATATAAAATTATGGCTATATATTTTCTAAATCAGTGCAATGAACTTTTTGTTAACTAAAAAAAAATTTTCCTAATATTAATAAAATTTTCCATACTTTGTGAGATATTAAATGGAGAAAGCACAATTCATTCAATATCATCTTAGCTATATTTACTTAATTATTAGTTTATTTTTTAAATTTTTCTATTATTAGGTAATTTATTATTAGGTTAGACATTGAAAAGTTTCTTTAAATTAGAATTTACAATAGATCACATTTGAATTTAGTAAATAAAACAAAAATTATCCGAAAATTGCCGTAAAAGTAACTAGTATGTTTCTTTTTCCTCATGGTTTTTTATTTGCCTCTGGGGCTGTACTGCTTAACAGATGGCTACAACTATTTTTACTTTTAGCATTTTTAATTTTTTACTTTCTGTATCAAGTGTCATGAGTTTTATGAGTTATCTGTGAAAATGTGAAAAATGTCAAACATGTGATTTTTTTAAAACCATCAGCTAGAGCAAAGTTCAGTGAAATATTAATTTTTTGGGTTTTGGGCCATATTGACTTATTTTTTATAAATAGAAACTAAAAATTTAACAAATATCTTAAATAAAAATTTTTATGTTAATTTTATTTAGGAAAAAAAAATATTTATATAAGCATTTTTGATTTTATAACTATTTGAAACAACTTATTTAAATAACCCTGTATTTCTGCCACAGAGAAAAAAATATTCTTATTCTGTAAATTGTTGAATTTACGATTTTATTTTTAATATTCAATTTATGGTTGTCCTACCACTTGTTATATTTCACCTCGCTTTATTCAGCTGTAAATTTATTACATATGAGGAATGGCTGACTATTTTGACTAATTAAACAAAAAAAATATTGACGAAATATAAAAAAATTAAAAAACAATTAATTATTTGTCCGTAATTAAAGGACTCAAAAGACAATCAAAAATCGATATAATAATAGTAATAAAATTTGGGGTCCTTACCTCATTGTCATGGAGCAGTCACAATTTTTACTTTACTTTATTTTATTTTATTTTATCCCCAGAAATATTTATTAGTATTTATTTTGTATAATTATATTTTTATGTTATATATATTTTACAAACCCCAATTATTTTCTCTGTGATCGATTGCGACCAGCTTTTTTGCCGTGCCGCAAAACTCTCAATGACCCCCTAAAATAAACCGACTAGGTTCGATTTCGCAAGACTTCCAAAATCGTCGAGTCAGCACAAAGTTCATTAGTTTTTAACTTAATTGTTATGAAACTATGAAATGCATTCTCTACGATTTAAAAGTATTTCGAAATCGACCTACTATTCAGAAATAATTTAACATACAGGATGTTAAATTATTTACTGAGCCGAATGAAAATAAATTAATTCAATTTAAGGAATAATTGTGACAATATCAATAATAACATTACAATAATACTATAATATAATAAAAACGAATATAAAATTTAATTTTATCTAAAAACTATAACTATCGACCTACAGAATTTATTAGTAATTTTCTATCTAGCATTACATTTTTTAATTTATACTTGAATAATATATGATCTGTGAATAATTTCAAGTCATCGGGTAACCAGTTGTACAACTTAACAATGTTATAAGAAAAGCAGCCTTCAAACAAAACTGATTTATGTTTTGGCATAGTTAGACAACCTCTATTCCTTAAATTTAAATTATGGACGTCCGTTCTGAATCGAATTTTACTATATAAATAAGCTGGTGTTTCAGTAACTATAATTTTGTGATAAAGTAAGCATTCATGTAAAACTCGTCGTTCTGCTAAATTTAACCACTTCAATTCCTTTAAATATTTTGAAGTTGGTGTGCACCTTCTCAAACTATAAATAAGCCGAATACAACAATTTTGTACTCGCTGTAATCTTAATTGATCCCTTTTCAAAAGTCCAGGCCCAAATACTACATCCCCATAATTTAAGTGGGATAACACGAGTGCTTCACAAAGCATGATTTTTGTTTTTTTAGTTAATACACCCCTGCTACCATATATTAGTTTTAGATTAGCAAAAGCTCTTCGAAGCATCATTGTGACATGAGATGTAAAACGTAGATCGGAGTCAACCATCAAGCCTAGGTTTTTGACAGAGTTTACGATATTTAGCTCATCTCTTCCTACATTTATTTTTAATTTTCCGATACATCTATTTCTAAGAGCGCTTTTTCCAAAAAGTATGGCTACTGATTTAGTGCTATTAATTGAAAGACAAAATGTATTTGACATATTAATGAGAGACTCAATATCTTGATTGATCTGTTAGCAAGCAATATCGATGTTTTCCTCAGAAAATGTATGATACAATTGTGTATCGTCAGCATAAAAATGAGACGAGCAGAAATTTAGTTTTTTATAAAAATCTAATGTATAGATTATAAATAAAATAGGACCTAAAATGGATCCTTGCGGCACTCCATTGTTTACTTGTGAAAACACAGAAGAAGACGAGTTATAAATAACAGCTTTTTGACGATTACTCAAATAATTACGAAATAAATTAACACTATTATTATCACAACCTATGTAATGCAAAATTGATAAGAGTAATTGGTGATTTATTCGATCAAAAGCTTTCGAATAATCTAACAAAATTAACGCGACCATTTTATTTTCATCCAAAGCATTATGAATATCATCAGTAACTTTTAACAAAGCTGTAGTACAACTGTGCAAATATCTGTAACCGGACTGATGAGGAGGTAAAATATTATTGGTGTTCAAAAAAGATATTAGTTGTTTATTGATTATTTTTTCAAAAGCTTTAGAAATTGCGCATTAAATACTAATTGGTCTCAGATCTTTAGGACTACTGGGATTTGACATTTTTGCCAATGGGATTACAAGAGCACGTTTCCACATAGCAGGGTAAACATTCTTAATTATGCAATAGTTAAAAATATGTGTCACGTAAGGTAATATGATTGGACAACAATGCAGCAACATTTCTATACTAATACTGTCTACACCTACAGCTTTGGATTTTATTGTTAATAGTACAGAAAATATGTCTGCCTCATTAGTTGTGACAAGTTTCAAGATATTGTTATGAGCTAAGTTTTGTCCATAGTAAGACATGAGATCAGTATCAGCTTTAAAATCACTTTTTGAAGAGTCTACGAAAAATTTATTTATTCTGTTTAGGTCCTGTAAAAATGGAATGTCATTATTTTTATTTATACTATAAATGTTTAGTTCACGTAAGTCTTTCCACATTTCCTTTGGGTTACTATGTCGAAAACGAAATTCCAAATATGCCTTTTTTTCACGAGAAATTGCACCGTTTGTGTAATTTCGTAATTCTTTATAATAACTCCAATGATGCATTAATTTCGTTTTCTTGTATCTAGCCAAAGCTTTGTCTCTTAGTGACATCATTAAACGTAAGTTGTCCGTTAACCATGGAGATTTTTTCTTTTTAATTCTAACAGTTTTAATTGGAGCACAATCATTAAAAATGTTTTTAAGAGTATTACTGAGAATGTTCACTTTATCATTAATATTGGAAGATGTATAAATTCTATTTAAATTACCGTTTCTTATATCATCATGTAAGCTTATTTCATCAAAGTTAGTATAATCCCTGAAAGTGTACATAAAAGGTTTCATTTTATCTGTTTTTGCTTGAATAATACACGAAACTAAACTGTGATCAGAAAAAGGCTGATGTACATCTGCTTGTTTAACAGGAAGATCATTTGAACATATTATTAAATCTAGCAATGACATACTTCTTGAGCTAATTCTAGTTGGTTGGTCAATTAATTGTTTTATATCAAAAACATCCAAAATGTTTTGTAATTTTTTGCACTCAATAGTCTCTGGGTCTAAGTTATCAATATTGAAATCTCCTAAACACAATATATAGTCATGTGTATGTAAAACATTACTCAAAACATTTTTAAAATCATTTAGAACTGCCTCATAGAATCTATTATGTGACAAATATAAGGTGCCAAGAGCATATTTTTTATGTTCAATTTTAATTGTTAGCCACAACTGTTCACTAGTTATCCCTAGACCAGAAATTAATTTAGATTTAATATTATTCTTTAAATAAATAACAACTCCCCCACCTCTTATATTTAAACGGTCATTTCTGTATATTTTGTAACCAGGCAGAGACACAATATCATTATCAATTTCAGGTTTTAGCCAAGACTCTGAAACCGTTATTATATCATATTTATTATAAACCGAATCTCTAAATTTTACAAATTTATTTAAAATCGATCGTGTGTTTACATGACACACTTTTATTAACTTAGACATTTCTTTACTAATTATTACAGAAACTATGAAAAACTATGAAACTAATTTGTGAAAAAAAGAAACTATATTGTATAAATAAATTTACAAATTAGGTTTATGTTTTAATAAGTACATTTTATTGTTTCGTTTTTTTGGTACTTCTAGTATTGATAGGACTGGATTTAGCTTTATGTTTTCTTCTATGTACTTGAGAGACCGCATTCGATTTTTCTATCTTTTCAGCCTTTGAACTTTTCTCCTCTAATTCTTCTTCACTAGAGTTTACCTCTTCCGCTTCACTGTAGTCTTCTTCTTCTTCTTCTTCGTCTTCGCTTCCAGATCTTTCTTCTAATTCATCTATTGAATATGATTTTCCATCGATAATCAGCTTAAAACCCTTAATTTTAGCATCTAAATTTTTTTCTTTGGCAGTTTTCTGATGTTGTCTTAAAATATTTATTTTTTCTCGATCTTCCTTAGAGAGATCATCGCTTAAAGACAAGCCCTTTTTCCTAAGCTCTTAATTTATTAATATCTTTAAACAAAGTTGATTTTTTTAGATATGTAGCGAATTCTACCAATACTGGAGCGTTTTCAGATTTTCCAAGTTTAAATATATTATTTATTTCACTGTGCTTTATATTACAATCTAGATTGTCATTTAACGTTCCTACAGTCTTACCTATAATATTTTCTCCTTCCTCAATTTTAATGCCGAAAATTACAATATTATTTTTCTTAGCTCTTCTTTCAAGTTCTTGGCACTTTTGTTTTAATATTGATATTTCCTTATTTGCATCATTCACTTTTTTAGTAAGTGAATTTGTAGTTTTTTGTAGTTCTAATTTCAATTCTTCAATTTGCTCTTTGTTGGCTTTTAATATTAATTGATATAATTGCGCAGATTCAGATTCTTTAATACTGTTGTTTTCCATAGTTTGCAATAAAATAAATCAAACTGTACATTGGTACTGGTATAAAATGTGTAAACTTTTAAGGTATGTGGCCACCTTTAGTTATCGTATGAACCTTCTGATAAAAGTGATCTGATTAAGCATAAAACCACTTTTTTATTAAAATTTGTGTACACTTTTAATGTGTAGAACTAGGTTAATTTTTAATAATGATGAAAATTTACATGTATATATTTGAAATCTACTAAATTTTCAATTTGATTGTCTTCTTTATTATCAGATTACTCTACTAGTTCACTTTTATAATTAAATTATTGGTACATACCAGGTAAATTTTATTTTTCTGGGAACGATGTGAACAATACACCCACACACTTCGATTCGCAGATAATAAAAAAAGAAAAAAAAATAACTCACACATGGCTACCACCTTCAACTTTAATTTAAATAATTTACCTAAAATGTCACAACTCGACCTCATTGAAATATATATTTTGTGCGAAATAATCACATTTCTTTAATCCCAATGAAGATAAATAACCGTTTAGCTCTAAAATAATTATTTTTAAATTAGCAGTATTGTAAGGATAAAATTTGTTAAACGAGGTAGAGATTTGAGATTATTGAAAAATTTGCCATTACTACCTAATTTTGATAGCCGATTAGTTGTTTCCCTGGTAGTAGGAATTAGACAGACGGTTGAATGGTATCGTTTGATTTTTTGATATTTTACTATTTTTAATGTTGATCTTCGATATATTGTCCTTTCGATCTAATGAATTTTCGATCTATTGTCTTTTCGATAAAATATATCTTTGATCAAATGCCATTCAATAAAATGTATTTTCGATGAAATTTCCAATTCGATCAAATGTGTTTCGATCAATTTTGTGCCACCCATTTATTAGGCTTTAGTCACAACACACGTAACTAAAGTTTTCGTTGCTTAAAAGCAAATATTGAAATTATTATTCCAAACACCACCAATACAAACTTTTAGAAATATTTTTAGCTTGGAAAACATACTAAAACTGTTATCCATTTATATTTTAAAATATTTATTGTATACTAGGTGAAATATTCAATCAATACGAACAGTACGCACTGGCCATAAATATAGTGGGTGTCACAACTTGACACGTTTTAATTTTGAAACTAAAGCACGTATTATTTATTATTAAATATAAAGTTCATTCACTACAATTGCATGTATATACCTGGAAAATGTGCTTTCCTATTTGGCTGACAGAGCCTCATTCTTCTCAAGAATCTTTCACTTAAATGTTCACACAATTGTCGTTCGATTTCGCTAATATAGCGTAAAATTTAATACTTCAGTTCCGAAAATTTTTATTTCTCTATAAGAGTGTACTAGGGATTTCAAAATACTCCAATGGGATATATTTCAAAGAATTTTATGGCGCATTCATGCTGGTTTATTTTAATCTCCATTAGAAGAAGGCGATATTCAAAACGACACAACATGTCGATACATTTTGTTTAACGTGGACATGTCTCGTTATGAAAAACGTTATTTGACACGACCAGGAAACTTTGCTTTTAACAATTCAATTATTTTGCATTTAGTTTGACAGATCTCGCCATCTTGCTGATCTTATATGTTCCTTCTATTCATGCTCAGTTACCCTATAGTACTTAGACCTTACTAGATCCATTATACATCCTCCTGAATCGTCGAGGCCATTATTAGCTCATTAACCAACCTAGAGATTTATTATAGTTGACAATGTCGCCAGTAATATGTCTACCTTATGTTGACCAATATTAGCCAATACTCGCTAATCACGAATAGCCTAATAGATGAGAATATCGGGCAATCACAGCGTATGTTCCTAAAACTCTCATCTTCTAGTTTGCACCTCCTACAGAGTATGAAATTCAACTGTCCCATGGAGGCGCTTTTGTACTTGGCAATGACGAGTTAAAATGTCTGTGATCAGGTGCATATTATGCCTGGAGTTTTTTCCTGGGTTCGTTTGACTTAGTTTCTGATAACAATAAGGCCCAATGGCTCAACTGACTCATATTAATTCATAGTATCCACTCTGTCACCTTAGTTTCTTGTACAATTTTGTGCAAGTCTTTGACAAGTTTGTTCTGTAGGTTCTTGAAACATCCTATGGTTGTTCAAAAAGTGCTTGTCTTCTGCCATCCAATGTTTTGCAGTTGTACACTACGTGTTTGGCTATTTCTAGTTCCTTGTGACATTAAATGCGCCTATTTTATTCAAGTATCTCTTAACTGGGGCATGTCTAGTCATAAGTCCTGTTATCTGGTTCCAGTATTTCTTGCAAGTAAGTTAGCCTTCTAATTGCCCTTCGATCCCTTGAATACCTTGCACCGAAACTTTTGGTCTCGATTAAGTCGAATATTTGTTTGCTTTATAAGTGTAAGAGTAATTAGCTAAGAGTATTATTTTATAATAGTGTTCGCCGTTCACAGTTAAGTAAAAATCTGATGTATCCAACACATGACTTTCCTATCTAGTTATTTTCCGGTTATTTTGTACAACCTATTGCAGCACTTCTATAAATGTTTAGAGGGTAAATTAAATATATACATTTTCCACATACATCTACCTCGAAACATTTTTGTATAGATATTCATTAATTTAAATTTAGCACTTTTCCTCCAATTTTTCCATTACGGTCCATCTTAGAAAAATCATGTTAAATCAAAAATTATACAGATCGATATCGCAAACAACTTTAAGTTTAATAATTTACTTAAAAATCATAATTTTGCACATTTTGTTAAATTTCTCGAAAACGAACCATTTCAGGAAAATTTGACTTTTAGCAAAAATTATAGATAATAATATAAGAAGTTACTTTCATTTGAACAATTTTCTTCTCCAAACATAAATAACAGATATACTCCATAAAATATAAAAACGGTCTCCCATAAAATACCCACCTTCCCACCAGATGTTCCGACTTTGTCCAAAATCTAATCATTTTACGTCAAGGCGAAACGAAACTTGAATTTAAAATTTATTTTTTTTTCTTTGTCCGTTTTTGAGTTTTCTTCAAAATTCGAAATTTACACATTTTCTCAAATATTTCAAATACGGTCCATTTTAGGGAAATTATGTATGGGAAAAAAATTATAGAAAATTATAATATAAACAACTTTTATTTAAACAATTTTAATAAAAAATGATTTTTTTCACATTTTGTCAAAATTCTCGAATACGGGCCATTTTAGAAAATTTTGTATAAAATAAAAATATTCATATTATTGTAAGTAACTTCTTCTTCTTCTTCTCCATACGTAAACAACAGATATATTTCATAAAATATAAAAATGACCACTTATAAAGTATCCCCTCCCCACATGTTCCGACTCTGCCCGAAATCTAATCAGTTTAATCGATGCCGGAATATAGCTTAAGTTTAAAATTTGGTGTTTTTCTTTGTATCGTTTTATGAGTTATGGTGGACACACACACGCACGCGGGCGCACATACACACACACACACTCACACACATACACACACACACACACACACACACACACACACACACACACACACACACACACACACACACACTCACACTCACACACACACACACACACACACACACACACACACACACACACACACACACACACACACACACACACACACACACACACACACACACACACACACACACACACACACACACACACACACACACACACACACACACTCACGCATGCACGCACGCACACATACACACACAGACATCATCCGTCGAAAACTGGAGGTCCAAAAGAATCATGATTCCTGTACTTTCCTTATCTGTATACACATAGGAAAGTAAAAATATAAATTCATTGTTTAACCATATATCGTGCCCACGCTTCCAATTGCAAAACTGTCTACAATCTTTTTATCAATATTTTGATGTCGTACTGCGAACAATATAAAAACAACATTTAAATCGTGCGTTTTTATTGGAACACCCATTACTAGATATGGACAAATTTAAAAAATTAATAATCATAAAACTGCTTTGTACAAAAAATGTCCATTATGCATAAAAATACTTTTTTTATACACGAATAAGTATGTCATTGCGTTCAACTGAACGAATATATTTCATAACCATTCTACGTAGTGAGAACACTGCAAAAAAATATATTTTGGACACCGAACTACCATTATTTTTAAAATTTTAAATAAGTGTCAATTCTGTCAAACTAATTGTCAGTATATTTTTTAATTATTAAGATTGAATATACATAATAATGAGTTATTTTTGGGTAGAATCGATAAATAATCGTAACTAATGGCATTTCTATTTTTATTTGAACCATATTTTGAAAAAAAATTCAATTTTAATCAAACTATATGAAACTATTTGAATTAACCAAAATCGTAAAAGAAGACGTAGAGGTATGGACAGAGTGCTTGACTTTCAAGCGAAAAGCTGAGGATCGTTCCTCGGCTGGCGACAATTTTTTTTAATATTCATTTTATTTTAAAACTCAGTAAAATTCATAATTTTTTAAAAATTTTAATTTGTAGATTTCCGTTAGTGAGTCGTAGAAAAAATATACTGTACAACTCGAGTGAATTGTCCATATCGTACTCATACTTTTGAGCACTCCGCTTACGGCGTCGTGCACAAATTTCGTCTTCGTGCGATATGGCCATCATATCCACTCTTGTTGCTACTACGCCTTTCTGTGCAAAATGCCACAATAAACGTTATTTATTTTTAAGATATCATTTTTGTAAACTTTTAAAATTTTATTGACTTTGACTTTGGTATTCACTGCAACTAATTCAGCAAGACAAACCTAAAAATAAAATACATAGATTGTGATCATTTTGATGGTTCATCCTATATTTTAAATTATTATAATAAAATAAATTAGCTAAAAATGGATGTATGCGTTAGTGTTACGTTTATTTTGTATAATATATAACTAATTCAAATAATAATGTGGCCTATGAATATGAAAATAATTATTCAATATAATAATTAGCAATTAATCATTCAGGTAGA